TCACCCGTGGAAAAGCAGGCAGAGCCACTCTCAGGCAAACTCACGTGTGTCTTTAGAAGGCTGAGAATTAACTGGCTTTCTTGTACTCTTAAAAACTTCATTTTGGCAAAGATTTATGTTCTTGTTTGCATGTATATAAAAAGCTACCTTTTAAAAAGCCAGGCATGATGGTGTACACCTTTAATCCCAGCAGGCTGAAGCAGGTGGATCTCTGTGAGTTCGAGGCCAGTTCCAGGACAGCCAGAGCTATGTGTAATAGAGAGACTCTGTCTCAAAAAGACAAAACAAAAAACAAAAATCAGCCTTAACAACTTTTTTATGGCCCTAAAGATGACCCAGGGTGAAGGCCCTTGCCAGGAAAGCCTGGCAGTCCATCTCCAGGAAGTTGCCCTCTGACCTCCGCAGAGTGTGGCACTCATACTCTGCACACACCTCTCTCACACACACACATACATGCATATGTGTGCACATGCACGTGCACACACATGCATAAATAAGTAAAATAAAGATTTTTCAAAAGAAACTTTGGTATTGCTGCAGTAGTGAGGTGAGCAGAGATTGCCAGGACAGCCTCCTTTCTTGATGAGTCCTCTGTGGTGTGTCCCACTCACTGGAAGTGCTAAAGCCATCTAACCCAAAAGATTCAGTTTAGAGCCTAGGAATAAAGTGTTCTTAACACACATAAAATGGCTAACATTGTGCCAAGTTAATGAATTCGAAGGATCTCGGTTTAATGTGGGCAGTGCTTTCTCCCTCCTTCCTCTGCTCTGCCTATTTGGAAGATTGGGTTACTGGGTATCCTGTGGAGGGCTGGATGTGGGGTTTTCCCGCTCTCCACAGTGCTGGTGTTGCCAATGGGATATGGAGAGAGAGAAAGGATATGGGAGGAACGAAGGGGCCCACCCGAACTGCACTCGCTCTACCCTGTGAACGCGCTCCCGCATCCACAATTGGGAGATTCTGACATCATAACATCTGACCTTCACACATCTCAAAATCCTTTACAATACCGACAAGTTTTCTAGTTTACACAAGTGATTTCTTCACTCTTCCAGTCATACTCCTATCTTTCCCCAGTGGGGTAGAGACACTGGAAAAGGGACTTGGGTGGAGGGTGAGTAGGTCCTCTCGGGCATGGTTTCTTCTTGGAGTGAAAGTTCTTTGTCTTTCTCCTTGTGAGCTGTTTGTCCTGACTCACCACACTGCTAGTCAAGAGGAGCAACTCAGAAGAGCAGGAAGACTCCAGCTTGGCTGTCAGCCAAGTGGACAGGTGGGCGCAAGAGCTCTATTTACCTGTGGGACAAAGAAGATGGGGAGAAAGGGAAATTGAGTTGCCAGGGAGAGAGACAGATGGCTGAAAAGACATTGTAACATAGGATACTATTTTTTAAGTGACCTTTAGAAAAACATCTTTCTTTTGTTTCAAGGTACATACATTTATCTAATGTCATCTTGACTGAAGTGCAAGAGCCAAGGGCTAGGCTTATAGTCACCTAATAGATTCATGTACATCCCAGGGATTGTCCCAGTCCTGAAGTTGTAAGGCTAGGAGCTAGCTGTCCTTGCCTGAGAAGAGCTCAGACAGACTGGATTATTAAAACTGCTGAAAAGGAGATTTATGCTGGGTATGGTAGCACACACCTTTAGTCCTAGCACTCGGAAGGCAGAGGCAAGCGGTTCTCTGTGAGTTCCAGGCCAACCTGGTCTACAGAGCAAGTTCTAGGACAGCCAGGGCTGTTACACACACAGAGAGATTTGTGCACATATTTTCATATGCATGTGTGTGTTTGTGGGGGATATGAGTATCCAATTTAACTTGTGTTCAACTCTTTCTACTTTTGAATAAGTTAATTATTTTCTGAGCTTGCTGGAGACTTTCTTTGATTGTTGGTGGTGTGTGTGTGTGTTTGTGTGTGTGTGCGTGCACACGTGCGTGTGCGGAGTCCAGAAGAGCATTAGATCTACCGCTCTACCTTTGAGGCAGAGTCTCTACCCCACCCAGCTTGTTACGTGGGAGCTAGGATGCAAACTCAGGTCCTCCTGATGCCCACCCAGCTCTTAGCCATTGAGCTAGCTTTCCAGCCCAGTGCGATGGTCTCGCTGTCACAGACCAGGCTGGTCTGGAATTCACTATGTAGCCCAGGATGACCTCAAACTCCTGGTTTCCTTCCTGCATCAGACTCCTGAGTCTCGGGTGCCGGCATGAGCCCCACACCAGTCATGCCAGCCTCTCCCCAAAGATTTGTGATTCTTGAAAACTGGTTTTCTCTCAACAAGGAGAAATATGCTTCATTTCTTCAAGTTATGTAGTAGTTGGGGAGAGCCCGAGGAAGCTGTTAAGGTGCTGACTCTGGACACTTTTATTACTGGCTGTTTCCCAGATCACATGGCTGCCAGCCAAGTGTCTCTCTGTATCCCTTTTCCCTGTGTCAGTCACTTAGGCAGCAGAAGACAGTGTTGGCCTTTGTTCTCGCAGCTCAGGTCTTCTCCCCCTGAAAAGCCATTTTTATTTTATTAACATTCCAACTTCAATAGCAGTACACCTTTGGAACATATAGCATGTCGCTAACAAAAGGCCAGGCCTTTTCCAGGTGACTTGCTCTACACCGGAGACCCTGTATTTAAACTGTAGATTTAAATATTTAACTTTGAAAGAAGGCACATCCTGCTGGAGATGGATGTTAAGTGTCCCCCAAAGGCTGATCTGTTAAATGCTTGGTCCCCAGCTTGGAGAAGGCAGGAACTTTAAGAGAAGGGCACATGAGAGGTCCCCCAGTCATCAGACACATGCCATTGAAGTATGGGACCCTACCCCTCCTTGTTTTCATTTCCTGGATGCTGTAAACTGATCCGTTTCCTTCACCGTATTCCATCCCCCGTCATAGGCTCTCAAGGCAGTGAGACCAAATGACCATGGGCAGAAAGCTCCAAAACTGGACCAGAATAAACCTTTTCTCTGTTTAAATTGGTTATCTTGAGTGTGTTGTGTGTGTGTCTGAGAGATCGACTATGAACCTGTTACGTTATGTGTCAGATTTCATCTAGTTACTTTCAGTAATTGACCCTTTTCCAGACTCATGATTCGAGTGCTCCAGTCATGGTCCCTGCTTTTTTGGCATGCCTCGTTATCCGTCTGTTTCTTCATCTCACTCCCAGATAAAAAGGCTAAGCGACATAGTCGAGTCCCGCTGCTGGGAACTCCTCTTTTATGGTACCGCATTAGTCTTCTGGTGCTACGTTCATGTTCCTCTAGTGGCACCCAGCCTTCAGTTCCTCAGCCCCAAACCTTGTTAGGAACACACTTTATACGTTTGTCTTTTTTCTGGATCTCGGGTTGCTCGGAGATCACCTGCCTGATGTCCCACGATCACCTAGAACTCACCCTATCTGAAGCTGTCCCTCTGCATGACTGGTCTCTGCTCCCAGCCCCGCTGTTCTTAGCCAACTGCCCAGCTGTTGTCTTGCTCCCCCCCCCCCCCCCGCCACCTGCAACCCATTTGCACAGCACAGCTAGAGTTGTTTAAAATGTATGATGGCTTCCATCCCGTTTACCTTCCTCTGGGCTTCCCATCTTACTTAGATCAAAATCCGCGTTGTGCTTAGCAAGGCTCGATGTTGTCTGTGCTCTTAGACTTCCGTGTGTCGTGCAGTATTATATGCACACAATGCAGCAGATGCCTAGAACTTTCTCAGCTGGCATGACTGAAATTGTATATCACTGAACAGTTCCTATTCCTTCATCCCCGAAACCCTGGGCAAGCCCTTCTTTTTTCTGTGAGTTGGAGCCCTCTGTCCCCTCCCGGAGTGGGCTGTGTAGGGCTGTGTGCAATCCATTACATGTAGAGAAACCTTGTAATGTTCGCCATTGGGACCTGATTTGTCCGGCTTAGCATATTCTCCATTTCCATCCAGACGCACACAGGATTCTTTTTCTGAAGGCCGGACGGCATTCCACTATGTGCACACGTCAGGATTTCTTCATTCATTGGCCAGTGGACGCTGGGACTATTTCCTCTTCTTGGCTATTACAGATGATTCTGTGATGAACATAAGACCATTCAGGCCTTCTGCGGTTCTGTTTTTCAATGATTTGGGGTAAATACCCAGAAATGGGATTACAGGGTCATAGGGTAGTTCTGCTTTTACTCCCTGGGTGGTTCTCCAGCTACAGCGCCATCTTGCACGCCCCCGCCCTGGCTCTGCTTTCCCCACAGCCTTGGCAGCAATTGTGGCTGTCTTTTTGCTAACAGTCTTCCTCGTGGGGTAAGCTGCGACCTCAGTGAGGTTTTGTTTTACCTCTGTGTCAAGTGTGACAATTTGTACATCTTCTTTGGAAAGATGTATAACCCAGCCTTTTGTTTTGTTTTAAAATGAATTATTTGGGCTTTATTATCACTTCTAAATTACAATTCCGTATATACTTAGGACATTAATTTCTTATCAAGTTTATAGCTTATAAATACTGCCTCTCAATCTGTAGCTGTCTTCTTGTTCTGTTTCTCGCCGTGGTTTGGGGGATCAGAGCCAGGGCCCCGTGTGTGTCAGGTTCTCTGGAGCCTTACCTTCCTCTGATTATTTCTCGTAATTGGTTCTCAGGAACTCTTTATGAGCTCTTACCACGTGGTGTATTTAGGGAGTTTTCTTGTGGCTTATATGAATGCTGTGTGAGAATTGTCCCTTTTGCCTGTGTGCTGTTCCCGTGAAATAAGGTATGAATCACAGGAAAGGCACTGCTAGCCTGCTTGCTAAAGGCTTGACCGTTTATAATGAACACAAATGCGTGGGTTGCAGCCCTAGAGGCTGGGAAGTGCAGTATCTAGGCAGCAGGTGTCTGTTGAGGACCTGCCTGGTCTCCTATCCCAAGAGGACACCTAGAACACTGCACCCTGCAGAGGGGAGAGGCACTGTTCTCCCGACAAAAATGCAAGAGCCGCAAGAGAAAATGCATGTCCCTTCCTTAAGGCATTACCTGCCCATGCGGGTGGAGTCCTCAAGGCCCCATGCCCTCCAAAAGGCCCTGCCTTCCCCAGCCATCCCTCTGGAGAGTGCATTTTGCAGAGACAAACAGGAAACCCCAGCAGGCCAACCATTACTGCTGCTCTTCCTGCATCCTGGATTACTACTGCTGCTCTTCCTGCATCCTGGATTACTACTGCTGCTCTTCCTGCATCCTGGATTACTACTGCTGCTCTTCCTGCATCCTGGATTACTACTGCTGCTCTTCCTGCATCCTGGATTACTACTGCTGCTCTTCCTGCATCCTGGATTACTGCTGCTGCTCTTCCTGCATCCTGGATTACTGCTGCTGCTCTTCCTGCATCCTGGATTACTACTGTTGCTCTTCCTGCATCCTGGATTACTACTGACTGGGAGGTAAACCAGTCCTTGGTTCTATACTCAGGTTTGTTTGGCTTGAATCAGTCTTAATGGTTACAGCCGACACCGGATACATCCAGTACCCTTCGTATTCTGTAACTCAGGAGATAATGCAGGTTTTGCTGCTGACTAGGAATTAAACAGAAAAGTCACTGCAGTAGTGTGCCCTTTTAATTGTAGAAATTTTCAGACATGAGTAGAAATTGAACTAATCTGCCCACATATGCACCACTGAAATTTAACCTTCGTTCAAATTTGTATTGTTACCCACATCTGAATAAAATTTACTTTTAAAGGATTTTTATTTTATCATTTGTTTATACGTCTCTGTGTGTCTGTGGGTCCCTCTGTGCAGGTGCCCTTGGAAGCCAGAATTACGTGTTGAATCTCTGGAGCTGGAGTTACAGGTAGTTGTAAGCTGTCTGGTGTAGGTACTGGGGACCTCTGAAAGCGCAGCAAGCACTCTTAACTACTAAGTTCTCTCTCCCGCCCCATAAATTAAATTTCTTTATAAATCTGTGTGCAGAATGATTTTTAAGAAAGTGTCTGGGCACTAAATTTAAAATTGTTTTTTGATAATTTCACCACCTATCTTAGCTCAGGCTGCTATAATACCATAATATAGTATAATATAGAGGGAGGGAGATATTAAAGTGGCTGCATGGCAGAGAGGGGCCAGCAACAGGGACTGGGACAGAGGAAAGTGACTGCAGGGCAGTGGGAGAACAGAAATGGTTAACGCGCCATTTAGCCTGCCTGCCAACACCTATCTGAGCCAGTAAAGGTGGTAATACGTGAAAATGCTTTGTGTGATGAGGACCCCAGGTATAGACTCAAGGGTACCCACAGGCCAGCCTGGCTCCACAGCTTTGGTTGGCTGAAGACATTCACAGGCCTGCCCCGCACTTGGTGGCACTGGGCAGTAGGGTGCCGTTACGATGAGCAGACGTGCCGTGGTGAAATGGGAGAGAAAAGGTGGGACGGTCTGTGTGCTGTGGAAAGAGAGACCAGAGGAAGCAAAGGCAGCGAAGAACTGGATGATACAGGTAGTTTGCTTGCCACACGAGTCCATGGTGACATTGGGCCCCGGTTGCTGCCAAAGGCCATGTCTGGGTCCGTGATCCTGCTGCAGCTGTGATCTGTACCGAAGTCTGTGACCCGTGTTACCACAGAAGGTCTGCAGTTGAAATACGAGGGCCAGTCTGAGCCAGTCCTGCCCTTCACCAGTCCTGGGAATGCTGGTCCCACTCCTTGATGGATGCTGTAGTAAGAACCCACCCAAATACCCTGGCATGGGAAAGCTGCTCTCCTGTACATAGGAGAGACGGCCCCGCCCCACAGCATGGGTGTGGGAGAGCTGACCCTGTTGCTGTGGGCATAGGAGAACTGGCTATGCACCTCACCTGAGGAGCCTGGCCCCATGGACGAGGTCTGACCACATCCAGAGCCTCGGGTTGGCCCACCCTAACATCTGCCCCATCTGGGATCTACTGGAGCATGTGAAAAGACTGGTCCTGCAGATCAATGCCCGCAGGATCTCCATGACTTGGGTGGGCCTTGGGATATCCCAGAGGAGTTTTGGTGAGGGTCTGGTGATGATGGTGTGCCAGAGACCAGAGACCTTGAACCAGACCAATGACTTATTGCAATGAACATTTCCAAGTAAAGCTGGCAGGACAGAAGGGTACTCCGTGAGACACACTTGGGCTCCCAAGGACTCTAAGACACCTGAAGAGGTGTTGGAGAGGTGGGAAAGATGGAGGAGAAAAAGTGGTTTGGGTTTTCTGGGTTTGGTTTGGTTTGGTTTGGTTTGGATTTTTTATTTTTTTATTTTATTTTATTATTTTTTTTGTTTTTCGAGACAGGGTTTCTCTGTGGTTTTGGAGCCTGTCCTGGAACTAGCTCTTGTAGACCAGGCTGGTCTCGAACTCACAGAGATCCGCCTGCCTCTGCCTCCCGAGTGCTGGGATTAAAGGCGTGCGCCACCACTGCTCGGCTTGGATTTTTTAAAATTTCTTTGCTGGGCAGTGTTGCAAGGGTGAAGGGCAGATATGGAGGGACTGGGAAATGAGTGGGATTGGGGTACATGATATGAAATTCCCAAAGAATTAATAAAGACATTATGTTAAAGAACAAATAAATAAACAAACAAATAAGCCCACATGGGCACAGCAATGTGCTGGTCATGTGATCCAGAAACTCAAGTAATGGCAGGATTCAACGTTAGAGATGACCAGGAAACAAATGGAAGCATGGCATACCTGCTTCCTCCATGGTCACTGGGAAGTTTTGGGGATTATTCTCATGACAGGTATGTGACTGAGTCAACCAGACCAACTCAAAGTATAGAGATCTGACACTATGACATATGGTGTTACTTCATTGATCTGAGAGTTCCTTCTTTGTCAGTGTTCAAACTGTGCTTGTTGAGAAATGCCTCTTGCTAGAAAAACACCAGTCTTACAGAGGGAGACCTGGGGTTAAGGCAGTGCCATGCCCCCTAACATCTGTCTCCCTTTAGTAGCAACCCAGCAGGTAGTTCAGGGTCTTAGCTTCCAGGACTTGCCTTAGAGCAACCTGGAGTTTGTGTGTGTGTGTGTGGGGGGGGGGTGGTGGTGGTGGTGAGAGTAGCTGACTCCGCTTCAAGATATATGGAGATAGTAGACATCAAAGAGAATGTGGCCCCTGAGTGACTGTCCCATAGGAAAAAGGGACATCTCTAGTTTCCTTGTTTGTTTAGCCTGGTCTCCACTCCGTTTGAATGGGAGAAACTTTGGCGTTCTCAATGATGGAAGGCCATTAATCTTGTGAAACTTTGTGGCAGTAGTGAGCTATGTGTCTCTGCAGGGATAAGCTCTATGCCAAGTGCATGACATCATGGAACTAGAGGCAGGAATTGTGTCCCCCATTTAAAAGATTAGAAATGAAAGTTTATAGTGATTGTAAATGATTGATCTGTCCAAAGTCAGACATCCCAAACATAATCTTAAGTTGAAATGTTGTGTTAACTATCATACTGATTAGCTAATTATATCCAACTGTAATAGTTTTATTTACTGTTCTTCATAAAAATGTTCTGATCATAGGGGTACACGGTCAGTATTGTGCTGAAAGATGCTCTATTAGTTTCTAATGTGACATCTAAGTCTGTTCTGTCGCATGCTCCAGATGATACTTGAGCCCACTGTGTCCTCTGAATAATGGCTTATTCCCATTACCAAAGGAAAGACATGTGATATAGGCTATTCAGTAGAATAGGAAAGTTCCAAAAGTGGAGTCCCTTGAAAAACAATGTTAGAAGTTCATGTCTTGGCTCTACAAATAGATATTATTTGTCTAAAAGTGAAAAGAAAGTTTTAGGTTTATTTTAGGTGTTTGTGTTTTGCCTGCATGTATGTACACCACATGCATGCCTGGTACCCACCAAAGTCAGAAGAGGGCTTGGGATCCCCTGAAATGTAAGTTACAGATGGTTGCAAGCTACCGTGTTGGTTCAGCGAACTGAGCCCTGGCCCTCTGCAAGGGTAGCAAATGCTCTTAACCACTGAGCCATCTCACCAGCTCAAATAGAATTTTTTAAGTACGTAATAGACGATAACAATGTAATTCAGTGTTTTCTACACTTGGTACTTCTTTTGTCTCTTTAGAATCTTCAGAAGATATGCGGGCGTTTGTAATGTTGCCAGCCTTTGATTTTATAAGTTGATGAGGACATTAAAAAGCGGCTACCCGTCCTTTCCATTCAATATAAAAAATGAAAGTGGGTTCCTGCGAAGGAAGCTCTTGGGTTCCAGATCTGTGGAAAACTTGCTGTAGTCTGATTTTCTCCGCAAGGGCCAATGAAAACCTTATAAAGCAGCATTTGAAAACAACCAGTTTAAATAACCAGAGTCTATATTCAAAAACTCAGTTATGATTTCCTCATGTCTCATACTCATTGACTTCATTTATATTTAAAGGAAAATGTGTTTAAAACAGATCTTGAATATACAAAATGACTTAGCTGTATTTCTCTCCAATAATTTATGAACTTTGGAAGGGAAAAACTATTCAATCTTTGGTTTATAAATCTCCAGAATCTTGCCAACATTTCAAATAAATTGGGGGGGGGGGGGCACCGATGGAGCATTCTTACTTTCAAAACAACATCAGTTTATCAAATACATCTCCAGTCAATCAGGAATGATTAAAACAGGATAATGTTTACATTTCTTAGAGAAATAAAATTCTTGGAACTTCTCCACGTCTCTGTCTAAAGACTTGCCATTCATTTGCATTCGGATACATTCTTTGTTTTCGACCATCCAGAATAATTCTCAAGTTATTAACTAACCAGACTAAATAGTTAGTTGTGCTCATGCATTTTAATATCAGTGTACAGAAAGGCTTTCCTAATTTTGCTTTCAATCAAATATCCAAGTGTTATCTGGTGACTCCCAGATTCAGTTACTAAACAGGTCACTTCCAGAAGGGGAAATAAAACTTGTGTACATCTTGGCCATTTCCTAGAAACCTAGAACTATGCTTTGATCTACCTCTGTGAAGGTTTATGAATGAGTGACCTTACCTGTCACAGAGGTATATGACTAAGTAGTCATTGCTAAGTAAGGATTTGTGTTTTATTTGGTCATAATCCAATGGAGGCAGCCCGTATTTAACACTGGGAGAGTTACTGTCTCTTAAAGGGCAGAGTTTGGCCATTGCATGACCCGTGTAAATACTAGGTCACTCATGGGTGCTTGTTGGGAGAAAAATGAAATATTTTGGTAAGAAGAACATTAAAAGCTCCACTGGGAAAGTCCCCAGGGGTGGGGGCTCCCTGCCTTCTGTGGGAGGAATGAAGATTTCGCAGAACTAAGTAACAGCTGATAGGAAATTGAAAGATACCCAAAGTGAAGCCAAGCCGGAAAAGAAGGGGTTTGTTTACAAAGCGAATGCTAACAAACAAAGGAAAATGCAGGGTGTAATTCAGACTGAGAAAACCACTGCC